TAAAAAGATTTTGGATTTTAAATGGGTTGGGATTTACGATATCGTTTGACCATCATTTCATTAATATTTTAATAAATCGAAAATGTAAATTACCAAGTTATAATGTTAGACAAGATTTTTCAATTTTAGTTAGTTATCTCTCTTGAGCAAAAATAACTCTAGTTGATTGACTTTATCCACTATATCTCCATATTGATAAAATCGCAACCAACCGCATTAATTCTTTGTGAAAATAGTTCAATGAGTCACCTAAAGTTAGGAATATATCTCTGTCTCCTAAAACCACCTAAGGTATTGATTATTTTGGTCTAAAAAGTATAACAATCTCTCAATAATTGCACAAACCACCTAATCCAATAATCTATTGGCCAAAAAATGATGGAAATATAAACACAATAAAAAATGCACAATAACAATGACAATTTTAGCATCAAAGAGTAAATATATTGATACTAGAAAAACTTAGTTCAAGCTAAATCATAAATATCAACTTTAAACACTTAGCTCATTACTAAATATAGATAGAAAATGGATTTAGAGATGAAATCCATTACAAAAATGAGGGAGATAATGAAAAGATACAAAATAATAGAAGAAACTCGTCCCTTGAATGTATTCTTGAAGAAATGAAGGGTTGAAATCTTGAATCTTACATTGAAATCCCAAATCTTCCTTTGTATTTCCTCCTTATTTCCCTCTCATCTTTTTCTCTCAAGTCTAGGGTTTTAAGAGATGAAGAATGAATGAAAAAGAGTTCAAAATGCATTTAAAAAAGCCCATATCATTTCCATTAATTGCAAAATGGTCCGGCCCTTTTAAAAATAATAGAACAGGTCCTGGCTCGACAAATGGGCCTCCCAGGCACTACTACAATGGCACTTAGGTGCCATGGCTCTGTCATGGTGCCTGCAAGATGGTGCCTAGGCACTGCTATAGTGGCTCCTAGGTGCCACTTTACATTTTTTTTTTGTTGCAGATTCGATCCTCCGATAATTGTGTGTCCAGTCCTTTAACTTTTATCTTATCCATTTTAGATCCTCAAATTTTGACTTTTCTTTCAATCAAGCCCTTTAAAAATTGTAACCCTAGGTCCCTAAACTTTCAAAACTTTTACACTTTAGTCTCTAAAGTCATGTTTTTGTGCACTTTTGGTTCTCTTTCTTTATTTTATTTTTTTATATACCTCTTTTTCTCTTCAATTTGGAATTTTGGCCTACAAACACCATAATTACACAATTATAAATATGAATCCACTCAATTTCATCAATAATTCAGAAGTGTAGAAATACACTTATCAAGTAACATTATCTCTTTCCATATAAAAATAATTAAAATAATTAGATTTTAAAAAAAAAAAAAGTCATCATCATCTTCCACTCCTGCGCTACCCCAACCAAACCCCACCCCTATCCCTACCCAAAACCAAACAAGGCTTGTAGACAAATTCCACCCAATCATGAAACTTACTAGACTCTTCTGATAGAAAAACAAAACAAAACATAATTCCCCTTTTTGATCTTGCACGATTTCAAAATCCTAGCTTTGTAAGAAATTGAATTACATTCACAATTAACTTTCAGCTCAAATTCAATTTTTGCATGAGAGATGCGTATTGTTCTGACTACAAGAAGAATACGGATGTGGTATTTGATCACTCGGCGGGAGATACAGTGTGCTCCTAGTGCGGTTTGGTGTTGGAGTCACACTCCATTGATGAGACTTTTGAGTAGCGTACCTTCACTAATTAGTCTCGGGACAATGACCCGATCTGTGTTGGTGACTCGACGAACCCGTTTCTCTTAGATGGAGGGCTGTTGACCTTGATTTCTAAGCCAAATGGGACCATCAGTGACTTTTCCCTTCTATATAAAAATCAAAATCTAATATGCAATGTCATATTTTCTCTTAAACAGTTCAATTTTGATATTTCGATTTTTAATTTAGGTTTCATTTAACAGTGAAAAAGATGGTAGCGGAGGTGTTAGTGGCTATGGATTTGGTGGCGGTGGCGGTGGCGGTGGTGACGACAAGGACGGATAGCCATGGGTGACAATGGGTAGTAGGGTTTGATTTTAGGTAGGGGTTGCGTTTGGTAGAGGTGGAAGATGATATTTTTTATATAATTATTTTAATTGTTTTTATATGGAAAGAGATAAAGTTACCATTTTTTACCCTTATGTAAATAATTAATAATGACGTCAAAATTATTTTCTTGATCAACAAATAGAAAATGGATGAATTCCATTTGTTTGGACTCTAAATGCATATTTTCGAAAAGTTATGGATAATCCTTGGCACAAATAAAATGTTAGGATAGAGTCTGCCTGCAAAAATTAAAAAGTTTAGAAGTCGCTACTGTAATTTTTTCTAAAATCGATATTAACTTATTCGATTTAGAAGATGAATTACAAATTTAAGCAAAGAGCCTGAACCTCCAAAAATGGTACAGAAGGAAGTAATGATAAATTTGGTTGGCGACAACCTTGGATATCAATCATTAATCATGAAAGAAAATTTCACACGTTGCGGTTACACATCTTGGGAATGGTCAAGCGCACAATTAAGACAAATACGTGTATTGGTAATGATTTTGTAATATCATTATTACTGCCTTCTAACTAATTCACTCTAATTTTTAGAAATTTGTGCAAATAAAGTATTATAAATTAGAGAAAAAGAGATAATAAATGAGAGAAGTTAATAAATTTGTGTATTTTATTAATAACCAAAGCCTCATATTTATAAAAAATAATTAGAGCTACAAGAGATACAATAATCATAATGACTAGGGTTGTAGAGGTAAAAAAATCATTTATAAATACTACTATATTTATAACATATTAAAATTATTTTAGATATAAATAATTTTCTTATTTATACTTGAATTTATTAATAAGTGATTTCATTACTCATAAGAAATTTTTTTTACATTAGTATATTTTTCCTTATAAGTGATTTTGTAGTTATAAGTTACTTTATTACTTATAATTATTTTTTACCTATAAGTAATTTTTATATGTGTAAGTGAACTTTTCCTTGTAACTAATTAGTTTTACTTATACAAATTGTGTAATTATTATTATTATTATTATTATTATTATTATTATTATTATTATTATTATTATTATTATTATTATTATTATTATTATTAGAATTTTTGTTTTATGCTTAAAAAAAATTTTTGTTTGTTTTTGGCCAACTCATAATTATCTCCCGTTTGTTCAGTGAGTATTCAAGATTTTATGGAAGGACATAGTAAAAGATAGCAAAAATGGAACACAGCCCTAAATCATTGCAGACATAAAGACTACATATAAAATTTAGTTTTAAACCTTAAATTTAGTTTTTTCTATTTATAATTGTGTAATTATTATTATTATTATTATTATTATTATTATTATTATTATTATTATTATTATTATTATTATTATTATTATTATTATTATTACAAGCAAGTTTTTTATATGCAATTTTTTACATATAATTAAGTTTTTACATAAATTTCATGTTCACTTATAAGTGAGGTTTTTTATTATAATCGATTTTTTGCTTATTAGTGATTTTGCTTATAAGTTATTTTCCACTTATAAGTGAAATTTATATCTCTTATTCAATAACAAGTAAGTTTATGTAATTTGATTTTACTACTTTGTTTTTATTTATAAATCATTTTATAAATAATACAGTCTAAACCTGTCATATATGCATTAATTTTGTACTATTGATTAAAGGAGGATAAACACCTTGGGTAATTTAATCCGGGTATTATTTCCAAAAATTTGATAAGAATTAGTTATGATTAAATTAATGTTTATACAATCTAATATGATGTGTCAAACGTGCTCTTAATGCAATTAAAAAGCAGTGCCAATAAATAATATAAGATGATAATGTATCCTTCTAAGAAAAACATTATCATGCCTTTTTAACAATAGAAATAGAAGAAACTCTAGCACTAATAGTATTATACTATTTTATTTTTTAATGGATTAGTGCTATAAAAAAACAAACAAACACTGATTTCCAATAATTCACCCAAAATCAGTGTTATAAAAAACTAACAAGCACCAACTTTTTCAACCTCTTATAAACGATAGACATTAAAAATAGTCAAAATCAATGAAAGGATTGAACACTTCGGAGTAAATTGTTTGACAATCATTAAAGCAATTTTTTTTTTTTTGGGAAAATGAGTTTTGAAATAGTGATTTGTTGGAGAAAGTGTGATAAAAAAATTGAAATTTTGCTTGATAATTTTTTATTATATTTTAATAGTTATCAAAGAGGCACTTGATTTTAAAAGCAAGTTTTAACTCCTTAAAGCACTGATTGATGCGTAGCATCTTCGCACTTGCTTCTCGCTTTTGGGCAAGAGCAAAGACACAAGTGGCATGGAAGAAACCGAGGGCTTTAGCTATTGATGATAATGACTGGAAACCATCTTCTAAATGAGGGAATCATACATTTGGGAAGTAGAGGAGGATACACCTTTTTAAGAGAAAACCAGAGATATAGACTCGTCTTGTTCTCCCCAACCTGTAACTCGGAAGCCATATCAAAAAAGGAGCATTATTTCACGATTGCTAGCCCGTTTAGCTTCCCCTCTTTGAATGTGTACAGCTCGAGCAAGCGAATGGCTAGCAAGGCCGAAGAGTAAAGTGCTAATGCCCAACCTAGATCTAGGGGCTGTAGATGGATCCGGACAGGTAAGAAAAGAAAGAGGGTGTGATCCTTTTACACTTTCATATTTTAGTTCAAGGTCAATAACTGGAAACTGCTCTTGGCGTATGTACACGAATGTAGTCTTATTTTTTCGAAAAGGGAATAGATGACAAAAACGAAGAAACAAGACTTTGAATATTTATTTTTATTCTATATATATAAAAGGTTCTAGGTTTTCTGTGAAGCGAGATCATATTTAAAATAAAAAATAAAAAAATAAAAAAAGGACTAAGTTCTACGAAGGAAAACCCGGCCCAGATTTGGACTCTTATTCACGAAGACAACCCACTTTGAACTGAAAAGCCAATACAGGTTTCACTCAGTTCAGCATCCAACAATGAGGACCGGATATTCATCTTCTCTCAAATTCTTGTTCCTATCGATACTTCTCGGGAATATCTCTCTTTTCATTTCTAATTCGTTCGCTTTCCAATCGGACGAGCTTCTTGCGGATGACGAAGAATTCGGGATCGAAGGTGGCCGATCCCCTGACGCAGCCTTCCCGACCCGAACTGTTTCATCACCTCCGTCGATCCGGAAGCGGTCATCGGACCTTGGTTCCGATTTGGATTCCAAAATCCAGTTTCCCCTTGAACACGCTTTCGGCGACTCCGATTTCGCGCCAGCCGGCTCCTTCTCTGCTCGCCTTAAGACGTGGTCTCATGGTGGTCAGGTACTGTTGTACTTCATGCATCAACGATTGAGGAAGATATAGTATTTTGAGTAGTAGTCTTGGAGTATATGCGGTGAAATGGACACGTATAATTGTATTTGCTATTTACGAAATAATATGAATAACACAGATGGAGAATTTCTTTTTATCACCACGGCAAAATAGTGCATCGATGTGTTGTTCTTCCTGCTCAATAGATGTGCTTTATTTGATTTCCATTAATTTATCTTGGCTGTTTGGAGTTTTTATATATAAAGTAACAAAATAGATTACTAAACTACTTCTGGCGGAAAAACTGAAGCAATTCACGGATGTTCATGGACAGTTATGTCATGCATTTAAAGTTGTACCTTATAAATAATTTTTTAGCTGAAGAACTTGTTCAAAAGAACACTGTTGAAGAAGTTCTAGTCTTCTAGATCAAGTAGTGCAGTGTTGTGCTATAATATTTTGTGTTTATGACCTTTTTATGTAACAACAAGTGGTGCTCAGTGCTTTCGACCATGTGTTGTAATTGTATAAGGATATAGCTATTCATTATATTGACCAACTTCTGAGTCGAATAGTTATAAGATGCTCATCAATGGTTGATTTCGTGCCCCCACCTCTCTCTCTAAACATGGACAATATATGATGCCATGCAGACACTTACAAAGCTTCGGTTCTCGAGGAATGGCCTTAGTGAGACAGAGAAGGAGAATTTCAAAGTAATTTTCTGTTGCAATTGCAGACCAATATAATTTGAATATGGGAGTCATATTGAGAAGAGTTTGATGAAACCTTTTGAAATAAACTTGCAGAAACTATTGGAAGGTGATGACTTCTACAGAATAAGAGTACCATCAAACGTGTTAAGTCCACCTGGAAGAGAGTACATTATCTCATCAGTGAAGGCGGTACGTTTGGGGTCAACCCTGTGAGATGTGTTTTTTGTGTAAATGATGTGCATGTGTTTAAAAACATATGTGAATACATGCATTTTTGGGTGTGGCACGCAGAAGACTATTGTGTCATGAATAAATTATGCCGACTCATCATTAAATATATATTAACCTGCTTGTTGAGTTTGAAAACTTTTTATCATCTGGAAAATTTGGTCTTACCCATATGATTTATTAAAGTATAAATTCCAAAATATTAATATCTAGTTACATTCATCTGCTATTAGTTTGAACTTCACTATTTCTGACATATCATTCAAGCGGTTCTTTAAGTTCAGAATGTGATTGTATATTTTTGTGTAACAAAAGTCTCATTGACTTTTGAGCATTGGAAGGTTAATTTCTTTTGTTTTCCATTATTTTCCGTTAAACCGAACATAGCAGCTGTTACATTCTGTTGGTTTTATTGAGTATGAATTATGGATTAAGTGCTCGCTTCTTACTCAATTCTGTCTTTTTAGTTGGTGTTGCAAAGTGTTCTGTGTGAAACCGTGCTTAATGGGGTTAGCTTCATCACAAAAACCAACTATACAAACAACACAGTGTAGATACAAGTATTCTGTATAACTTTCTAATTGCCATCAGAATGGATAACATCATTCATACTTTTATACCATGTCTTGTCAGATGCTGTGATAACTGGCAGAATGGGTTATAACAGTTTTACGATTTCTTGTTTATCTGCTTGCAGAGATGTCTTCCAAGGGATGGTCTGGATGAGCATTTCATGATACACATGGTAATAATTCCCTTAAAAATGGTGTTTTATGTACTAAAATGTAATGCACATTCCAAGCCTGAATATATAATGGCTAAGCTATGTTTTTCTTTATTTTTCTTGTGACATCTGCATATTCTATAGTAGTCCTGTAACTTAAGAGTTATTAGATACCTCATTTTAGGGCAAATGTACCTTGCTTGTCATTGAACATGAAAAATTTCAATCCACGACGTACTTGGTTCTCTCTTTTTGGTCACACCCAAAAGAGACAAACAAATGAAAGTAAGATACACAGATTATGATATCAGTCTATGGCCAACTAACCACCACTATATCCAACCAATAAGACTCCTTGCAAAAACAGCGTCATTATTTCAGACGCAAAATCAGATCCTCTCTCTGATACCTCCCCGCTTCTCTGGACACATCTCATCTGATACTACCCTTATACACCACAATCATTGATGGAATTGTTTAAAAATTAGAGCTGCTGTTACTTTCACCTCTCTTAGACTAGAACATGTGCATTATTCCTGTTCTCACTTCTCATCCATACTGAAATTTATCGGGAATTCTGAAATCCATTCCTAGAAGTTTTCCATCAAAACCGATTTTATACCGTCTTGTCTACCAAAAATTTCTCCAACATCAGATTCAGACCTCGGTCAATCATTTTGCCCTTCCAAGAGAGAGATTCTTAGAGTTGCTGAAGTTGTAACCTGTTAATTGTGTAAATATCTCTTTTCTAGGGTTTAATATGTAGCTAGCAAGTATCTGAATAGAACTTACTGCAAAATGGACAATTTTGACTGAGAAAAGTAGAGAGTTGGAGCTCTATGATATGTTTGACCAAGGAATTGAAATGCAAGAATAGGAAATGATGTGGAGAGGGAGATGTGGTGAACCTGGGAGCTTTGTACATTAGCATTGCTAAGACCTTGCAGTTTCAGTTTTCTCTTTGCTTCTTTTGCGGGCCTGGGTAAGGTTCTGATGAGGATCTAGCGTCTTCTTTTTGCTAACATTCTGCGTTCAAAGGATAATGGGAAACTCAACTGTTTTATTTTTGTATTAAAAATTGATTGGCATTTATGAATAAACAATTGCCAAACTTTCTCCTTGCAGGAGTTAGTTAGCAGTGGAACGAGGAAAGGTTTTGATGGGTTTACGTAGTTGTTACCACTTTATCTATTAACATTTACTCTACTTAAGAGATATGAATATGAATAGCTTTACTTGTGTATTTATTCGTGTCACATGAAATGTATTTAAATGTGTTGGTCAATGTTTAACAAAAAGCTTCTGAAGACGAAAAATCTATCAAAATGATTTGAGTTTTGTTCCTGGGACCCATAAATTCCTGAAACAAGATTTTGAGGAGCCAAAGTTATTTCCTGTTCTATGTTCTCTTTTGAATAAATAATAGTACGCTATATTATCAGCTTTAAGTACGTTTCTCTCTTTCCTTCGAGGGCTCTGTGGCGCTTTTATAAAAATAATACCTGGCTCAGTAGTTTAACATCTTAGGCCATCATTGCAATAGCTCTGAACCCAAAATAATAGTAAAAAAGGATTTATTTTTATTTATTATTTTTTTTTAAATTTTAAATTAAAATTTTTAATTTGTATTCTTTTTAGGGCTCTCCTGATTTAATTAGTGTATAGTTCAACTATAAAAATATGGTGGTGGGTGCAAGGGGAAAATGAATTTCCATGACATGTATTAGTATTATAAAGGATATGTGTGACGGAGTAATCACAAGCGAGATTTAGTGGCAATAGTAGTAGAGAATTTAGTACGATTTAATGGCAATAGTAGTAGAGAATTTAGTACAGCAATAAGCTTGTATGAAAGTTGTCTCTTTTCAGTTCAATTGAGAGGGACTTGAGAGTTACATCCGAGATGGAAGTCAATTAGTGTATGTTATTCCTTGATTACATGTTTGTGGAGGATGAATGCTTAATATTATTGCTGGTTGGTTGAAGTGGAAAAGTGCTATAAGGATTCTATGTGATTGAAGGTGTCTATAAAATGAAAAGAAAGAAAGAAAGTGTAATGCAATAATTGTTTGACCAACTATGCTTTATAATACGAAGAACATCTCCAGCAATGCTCTCCATATTGAAGAGGATATTTTCACGCACAAAGAGCATCTTGAAACTTCTGAAAAAATAAAGAATGAGTAGTCAATAACACTCTCTATAATTAATTTTTTTCTGTGCTAATTCCTATAAATAATTATGACCAAACATATTTCTTCCTTTTCTTTACATGCTTCCCTTCAAAGAATTGCATAGAAAGTTGTGTAATCTCATGTGAAAGCATTAAAAATAATATATAGGGAGTGAGTTTGGTTCTCTACATTTGAAGAACCAAATCCATTATCTTCTTTAATTTTTTTAAGATAGAGACTTTGTTAGAATTGGTAAAATGAAGATTGTTGGAATTGGTAAAATGAAGATTGGTTCTATAAAGAGAGTGAGAGAAATAAGGAGTCTTATAGATGCTTTAAGCGTTGGTGATGCAATATTAGAGAGAGAGAGAATTATATTTAGTTTCTGTTATTGATATTTAATTTAGGAAAACATAATTAAGGATTGATTATATATTATTTTCTTACTTAAAATAAGATCTTTTGAAATAAGGGGGTCTTATGCAATGTAATTCAAAACCTGATTATATGAAATAAAATTGATTTCCTCTTGCCTCAAAATCTCTCTTTTCACCTCCTTTCTCTTCCCCTTCTATAATTCTACTTTCGCATCCTGTGTCAGTTGATTTGTTAAATAACAAAGTCCATGAGATTTATGTATTGGTCATGAAGATGTTAAGATAAATTTATGATAGTTGTATGGACAATATAGGAAATGAGAAATGAGAATATACTGGAACATGTACAGGGTGACAGGATGATGAAACGACGATGACAAGAGCATGTGTTGGTCGACGTAATTAAGATTCTGTTGTACAATACCTTAAAATAGATTGGAAGAGTGAGAAGTAGATCAACATTAATACAGCTTGATGTGGTTGCCAAAATTTTAATTCATTGGATCTTCCGATAGATGTTGGGATGGACTCAACCATGTTGCAAAATTAAATTTTCCTAGCTGATCCCAAATTTATTTGGAACAAGACCTAGCTTTTGTTGTATTTGGTTTCATAACGACTCTGGGTGTTCCGTGTCTATTGTGTATGGTGGTCTTTCTGGTTACATGAGTTAGCATAGCTTCACTTTGTTCATATTCTAGTTTTCTTTAATTGTCTGTTGCATTTGAATTGCAGGAAGGCGTGAATATCTTGGCTGTTAATTATGGTTCTCCAGGATCATGCCCGTATCCACGACAATTCAAAATTGTATGTCTGCACTTGGAAAATTTTTGAACGATGATATATATATATAATATTTTTGAACGATGATATATCTATAGTACGTCTGAGAGTTTACAATTTTTACTTGTGCTGCTCCACAAATGTACTATTTACTTGTTCATTGATTGTTTTCGTGTCAGCCAGCTAAGTGGTCTTTTAAGTCACACACAGTCTTGAAGAACAGTGAACAGGCACCAAGGTGAATTATGTTTACTTACCTTCTTGACCTTTCATTTTCCCGTGGAATGTGATTTATCTTGAGATAATTAAAGTCATTTTATTTTTCCCCTGGAAGTTTTTATACCCTTACAGGATCCTCGTATCATCTTTTTGCATCAATTACCAAAAAAAAATTCATGCCTGACATATATAACTAGATTAACTTGATTGATTTTTTGTTATTTACTAAGAAAAAGAAATCCCGCTAGAAACGTGTCGTGAACTGCTTCTTGTGTTGCTATGGTCGATCATTCAATAAATCATAGACTCAAGCGACATGAATTGACTTCTTTTCTGGTTTGGAATTAGATCAACTGACAATCCAAACGATTTAGTTATTCTCTATCCGGAGATATTCTTAATTTTAGTGGGAGAATCAATGATAAATCTTCCCTCAGTTTTTAGGAATTTACTCAGTCATACGGTTTCCAAGTTGATCATATTTTAACTGGAGTAGAATTTTTTGAAGCAGAACTCCAGTATTTACTGAAGAAGTAGTTGGCGAGAATGCAGAGGGTGAATTGCCGCCTCCGGAGAGGTCCTTCTGGGCTAAATACGTGAGTTCAAATCTAGAGTTACCATCATATTTTCCTCTCTATTCTTCGAAAAAATTGCTCAAGCATGAAAAAAGCCAATCATATATTTCTTATCATCTTATTTTATTCATCGCAGTGGATGTACTTGATCCCTCTTGGGCTTATTGTCATGAATGCCATCACCCAGGCCATGAACATGGCTGAGGAACCGGGCAATGGGCAACCGGGCGCTCAAACGCAGCAGGCGGTGGCAGGAGCTCAACGTGGTCAGACTGCTGCAGTGCGAAGAAGATAACTCTTGAGTATGTATCTTCAGCGAAACCCATCTAATCTTATGTACTTTAATCCTTTAGTTCTTCACCCCACGCCACCCCACCCCGCCCCTGGATTTCGATTATGGACCTGTTTGGGGTTTGCAATGGGCAAGTGTATACAAGTATGACCATTATTCTAGAATTCTGAAATGGCACATAGGGAAACAACTTGGTACCACTTTGAGCTTGTGGGTCTATTTTACTTTTTATTTGATCTTTTCTTGAACATTGATATCTGTTATTTATGGGAAAATTATGTTGTCGGTCTCCAACCAATTTGCTATGTAACAAATTGGCCGTCGAGTGAATTTTTGGTGGGACGTCTTCAAATTTTAAAGCTTTGAGTAAGTTAGTTTTCAATAGGTGGAATTCATCTGCTTAACCAAAAGGAACATGTGATTGTTACTTTTTGATGGGCAAAGTCAATAACCGGTTGATGTTTATAAAAGTTAAATAGAAAATATAAAGAAAGGAATTCAAAAAGAAAGGAAAATGGTCAATCTATATTTTTAGGAAAATGATAGTCTGTCAGAGTCATTTGCACAGACCTTGGCCAGACTATCTCTCAAACAAGGGAGCCCACACCCATTTTTTAAGGACAAAAAAAAAGTTCACCCTTTCATAGTTTGGTTAGGATCTGTGCAAATGATCTTGACAGGTTAGCATAGTCCATATTTTTACTGGCTTTCTTTGAAAAATAGTGTTATAAACGTTCGTTACTCAAGTTTTAATGGACAGTTAAACCTGGTTGTTTGGAATTATATGTGCAATACGGATAAAAGGATGAGAATCAAAATATTTTGATTGATTTAGAAGTTGAAGACTTACTATCGGGGCCAGAACTTAAAAGGACCAAATAATGTAATTTTCCAGTTCAAATGAGAGAAACTTAGGGAACGTTAAGTTTGCTTTTTTCAAATTGTTTTTATTTTCGTAGGTTAATTGTTTTCAAGTTTTTAGTTTTGGAAAACATTTAAAAGTTGTCTAGTTTGATATTTTAGAAAAATGCATTTTTTAAAATATGATTAAACTTAGAACATAAACTAAAAACATGTTTCCAATTTTTTTTTTCATTGGAAACACAAAAAGTACTCAAAACATGAGAAATAAGCATTTTAATAAAAATTCTAAAAAAATAAAAAAATGAGTTTTATTTTTTAAAAATGGACCCTTATTGATTATTTAATTAAAGAACTTAAAAAATTAATATAAATGTAAAAGGATAAAAAATTCTATGTTTTGTTAGCTCAATTTATTATTTATTTTTGCAGTCGAAAAATTATTGTAAGATTCATCAATTTTAAGTTCTATATATTAATTGATAATATATTAGCATAAAATTGTTCTATTTCATTAAAAAATTCAAATTAATTTTAAAAAAATGTCATAACATAATTTTTCAAAATTTTATATTAAACTTATTTTGTAGTAAAACTATGAGATAATTATTATTTTTTGATCTTATCAGAATACATATTTAAATCATCTTTACTCTAGAAGTTTCTATTCTACTCTTTTTGTAACTCTTATTTTAAACTTTACAAATTTAGAGTCCATTTGATTGCAAAGATGAAATTTGAGTAGAAAGAAAACGAATTTTAGAGAATTGAATTGATGGGAAATTATTTTCCTAGAAATTGTAAATTATTATATTTGATTGGTATAATTTTTCACGTGAAAAATGTTTAAATTAAAGTATTTTTTGATGTCCGTTTGACTTGTTTTACATAAAAATTGTCAATTAAAAGGATATAATTTACTGGTATTGGGAATGAAATTTGTTTCCATTGCCAAAACCAAAAAAAATAATAAAATAAAAAATTCAAGAAAATCATCTATTTTTGGGTGTTCGTTTGACTTTGTTTTACATGGAAATTGTCAATTAAAAGGAAATATTTTTTTACAATAAATCTTAGAATTTGTTTTCATTACCAACACACACAAAAAATAAAAATAAAAATAAAATGCTACAGTAACATGTAATTCCAATTCTCACCATTTGGTTTTCTTTAAAACCAAGAAAACATCAATTCCTGAGATAAGCAAGAAAAAGCAATTCCATATAAATAAAACTCTATCAAACACCATAAAGTTGGAAAATGGAATTCCATGGAAAATTTTGGTGTATCAAACACACCCTTAGAGCTTTGATTCTCAATAAAATACATAATTGAATTTTTACTCTCTCTATTTCTTCTTTCACATTTCTCTCTTGTTTCTTTAAATTTTATAACACTTCATCAGCACGAATAAGCTCACTCAAAATAGAGTGAAAATTCAAAATCAACATTGCATTAATTTGCAGGATTTGGATAGCGTTTGCAACTTTAATCAAAATGTTGATACCTAAGCCTTCCATTATTCAATTGTTATGAAATTTAGACAGGACGTTTACAACTCATTGTTTTTCAAATTCAACAATTAAAATTAAAATTTAACAATTCATTCGTAAGAAATCTATACGTAACTATCGCAAAATTCTTTCCAAAAAACAAAATCGTTGATGGTCCTACTGTTAAAACATATATTTGGAACGTCACGTAACATAACTCATCAATTCCTATTCACCTATCAATTCCAATCGATAAACTGCCACATTTTCTTTACTTGATTGTTATTTATAGATTAAAATCATTGCACTTTGCATATTCAATTTCCATGTTATAATTGATCAAAATGCAAAATATATTAGTTGTACATATTTAGTTTGTTGTTGCTCCGAAGAAACACAACATTTTACTATTTTGGAAGGATATTACCTAAGAATATTGATCTATTACTTCGGAAGAAGCATACTTTTATATTAAATTAATAAATTTTAAGAATAATTAGTTGTTGTTCTTGAAGGTAACATGATCCACATATTTAAACATTTTAGATTTGTTTGAATCAATTTATACAAATTAATATTTTAGAAAAAATATTGTGTTGCTCTATAAGATGCAAAATTCTTATTCAAGCTCCAAAAGAGTCAATATTGTGTAATATGAAGGGACAAACTTACTATTGCTAGTAGTTTGTTCTCCATTAAATAAAAAGAGAAATTCGCTAAGATTCTAACAATGTTTCCTGATTGATATATTATATTAATACTAATACAATTGTGACAAACATTGCATTGAACTAGAAGTTCAATAACTCTTATATTTTATTGTTTAGCATGTCCAATTATATCTTTACTTGATCAATCAATACTAATGCAAAATGAGAATTCAAATGAACATTTATTGAAGAACAAGAAGATTTTCTAATTCATTGAATTCACATATAATGGTTGTTCTCTGTATCATAAATTTGTCATTGATCATCACTAGCTAAAGGTTGGATTAAATTCCTATGTTTTTGAAAATTAATTAGGGTGATAAATTGGGTTAACCACCTTTCATGTTGACAATCTAAATATTATTTATATCTAATAGATATGATATGTTTCCTAGATGATAGCATGGTGTTTGCAATTTGAAGTTTACAAAATTACTGCTCAAATTTTAAATTATGACATATTTTTCAGATTATGCAATAAAAAATGTGTATTTTGTTAATGTTAATGAGTTTAAATCTCAACATTTTAATCAGTATTAGCTGGGATGAAAATAAATGATTTAACATTTTTATTTGTTAGACGTATTCAATTAATTTTTAAATCATTTTTATTGAGAACAAATTTATTTCAAGTTCTATCTATGGAATGATATCAGCATCATATCAATATCAAAGTTTTTCCTATTATATTTGACTTATGATCAGAGCATAATTTATTTATCTAATTATTTTGATAGTGCAATAAGTGTACAATTAATTCATTATAATACACTGAATAAAAAGTAAAGAATACTGATAATACTTGCGTAGTTTGAACTCTTATACAATATCTCAAAACTCTAACGAGTGATGTTTTACAACATAGTTTGCTGATTATCAATTTGACTAAACAATTTTCTTCGCATTAGAGGATGATGAACTAAGAAGTTGAAAATCATCATTATATTATCTAGATCATCGCAAAAAAATAATTTGAATTAGAAGTTTGTAAAATAATTTATTTAGATGCATTTACTGATCATAGAGCTTAATAATATCTTACTACACCGACATTAAATGCTACAACCCACATTGACATTTCTAAGAAAATTTGTAAAAATTATATTGATATATTTGGCACGTTTGAAGCGTGAAAACATTCGATTTTAAGAAAAAAAATTCAAAAGAAAACTAAGCAAATAAGGAATATGGTACCATTGAGAAGGCGTATAGTCTTGGAGAACATATAAACGTAACTAATTATAAAATCCCAGATTATGTACAAGTCTTCGAAATTTTGAAAGGAAGATATCTCAATTAGTTATGTCGTTATAAGAAGAAATATATTTGAAAAAAGTTGTCCACAACACTTTTGTACATATTGTATAGCATTATATTATGAATAGCGAGGAATCGAAATATATTAATCGAATTAATGATTGGCCAAATAAGGGGACGAAATCATAGAAAAAATTGAATTTACTAAAGAAATTTGAAATGTTTGTACCTGCGGTCCAAAATTCTAAATGTGCGCGCGAAAAGGAAATGGAAAAATTGAGGGTGTAACATGCAATGCATGACTCTCAAAATAATAAATATCTCAAAAATTGTGGTGGATGCAATCACAAGTTCATAACTTGTTATCCTGACTATGCATAACTTATGAAATGAAATTATAGCCAACTCATTTGGCATCACTATTAATTTATTCCTAAAGGATTTTGTATGTGTGAAGCATATGGTTCAAGTGATGGTATTGTGAGAGGAATAAATATGTGCTTTATCCGATTGAATTTTCATGGCAAAGTTTTTAATGAGATAACTATTGTGGCATATTCAAAAAATAATGCACTATTTTTCCTTCATTATGATTTTTCCATATGATTTTTCCTAATAAAATTGTAACAATGCATATTCTTTGTACAATGAATATTCATGGCATAAAAGACATCTACCCTCAAAGTAAGACTTATGTGTTGCAAATTATGTACGAGACTCCTAAAGAGAACAATTATCTCACTTCAACTGGTGGAAAGATCGATCAAATCCCTCGAGAAGTGGTTGAGAACGTGCTCATTAAAGTAAGCAAGTTCATATTCCCAGTATACTTCGTTGTCTTAGATAGAGAAAAATCATGGGATGCATCACTACTAATCTTGGGTCAATCTCTCCTATCAACAAGTCGGGCAATAATGGGCTTTGAAGCAGGCAAACTGACCTTGAGGGTGGATGATGAAATTCAAAATCAATA